TCTGACGTCATTGCTACGCCAACACGAGGCGAAATAAGTTTATAATAGAAGCAAAAATCCGTTAAACGAAAAGAGACGAGTTCCTGTGCAGGAAAAGATCATAAAAAATAATTAACAGATTTAATTTAAAAATTTCGTTAAAATATTTTTGCAATAGACAAGAACCTTTCTTCTTCAATCTTTGTTAAGATTATTTTTCGCAAGTCGACAAAAATGCGATTCCGACATCATGATTTTCACAATATTCCTGCAAGTCTAACTGACGCGTGTGCGTGACGTCAATGGAATCATTCCGTTCATGTTTTGCAGGAATCATATTTATGACGATTTAATAACTACAAAAAAAAAACGGTGATGACGGAAATGACGCAACATTAGCAAAAAAACAATTTCAAAATATTTTCTTCACCGAGATATAAAAGAAATACCCCAATATATAATGTCAAAACAAGGTCTACGTTCGCTATAGACAGATATCCGATCGAAATCATTTTTCCGTGGTAACGAACTCGATTGCCATAAATATCCTGTCATAATTTTTGTTCTATAAATACTTTCTACGGTACGATCGCCGAGTTAATATAACATGGCATCAACAGACCGGCAAAAAACATTGCGTTTTTTCTTATAAACGTCTCGTCTGAACAATATATAGGCGAATACATCTTTGCAAGTAAAATAAGAATTCGAATACCGTAGCACTTTAAAGGAAGTATAACATGACATGAATAAAGTGTTTACACTCGCCTTCTCAAAACGCACGTATTCACATACAATTAGACGGATAAATAATAATACTTATCGCTTATAATAAATTTTTTTTATCTATTCTCGCAAAAGAGAACATCGCTAAGATACATTAAGAATCACGAATTGCTGGAGAATTGCATACTAAATTTATGGACCGTATCTGAAATATGAGAATAGAAATACCCGTTATATCTGTTCTTCGTATGCAATCAAAGGTTACGACGTTGAATGCCGTGAGGCATTCCCAACGTTTCAGCATAAAATTTCTACGTTACGGTTGAATATATTATATTATACAAGGTATAACTTAAAAGCATGAGGTATAAATCATTTATTTAAACGATAAATCGTAATTCAGAAACATAACGAAATAAAAAACATAATTTGTTCAAAGAGAAAAAAAATAATCTCTCATCTAATGAATATTGAATAAATAGGAAAGATTGATTTTAGAGAGCTTTTCCGAAAGTTTAACGACGAGAGGCACCCTTTATCAAGATAAACCAGTTTTTTCGCGAACCCAAAGAACGGCAAAATTACGAGAGAATTTCGATTGAGCAGAGCGAGCATCTGTTTATACGCTAGTAAACTAGTTTGGTAAAGATGACGTAACGTGTTGCATTCGCATCGTTCGATATCCGGTCGATTGTTTCCTCGTAAACCGCATCGCGATTGCTTTTCAGAACAAAGTCGTGACGTCAGACGGGGGATAAAGGCTGCATGTGCAAAAAAGCTGCAAAGGAAATGTCACAACGCTCTTTATGTTAGCTCACGTTCGCCGACCAAGTGCAGCTGGTCTCACAATCGGACTCTCTCGATTCGCGAGGAGCGAATTTTACCTGGTCCCGTTACGCGTCGACGAATCTCGGTGCATTCTCCGATTCGGGTCACGGCTCCGTAAACACGCCTAATTTCCTGCTGACATTCTTGAATCACACGTGGACGTGGAACGCCCGAATTCCTCGCGAACGTCTTCGTTTACAGTCTTTGCACGACGACAAACTTGCGTCGATTCCGCGAAACGCGATATTTCGGGTATTACTATGAAGAAACATCCGGCCCATACATCCTACTTTCGAATCACCTGACCTATCTAAGTAAAATATTGTAATTACCTTTTTTTTGTCATCATCCGTGCGCTACTAATCGTATCCTGTTCATGCAAATGACCTGTTGAAGCATGGGAATCTAGCGGTCGTATTTCGCATTTTATTTACGTAAATTAAATAACGCGAAGACATTTGCGCGAAAAAATAATACCGAAAAAATAGTACCGAAAAAATAGTACGCAAGCATTGTTACGTGAATATTAATTAATGCGATAGTGATGTATTACGTGGAAACAATGGCAAATTAAACAATCAATCGTCGCTTTCCATTGCAATTAATACTCGATAAAGGGTTAATAAAAACAAGCAATCTTTCTTTATGGAAATATGCCTTATTGGCGGTTACGACACGGAAGTTTGCGAGTTCTTTTCCACGATCCGCTACAAGTATAGTTTTATACGTCGAGCTCGAGTTTACAGTTATCATTGTGTTGGAATGAAACGCGGCATTTCTCTTTCCTGTTTCGCGATACGGTCTACGTCGTAGGATCCGACATAATTAAATCCGGAAAGTGTCCCCGACACGTGTCCAGGATTGAACAATTGATTCGGTATCCATTACACGTGTACATTCCTCGCACGAAAGACTATAAGAGGCATACCAGGTACTCGTGCGTTGTCTAGTTTCACAGGTGTTCCAATAAATTCGTGCTAGACAAACACAATCAATCGTTCTTTTGAAATTTGTAAAGATTAAATATACACATGCTGTAAATAATTATATTTTATCACCGTTTGCCCGCACGCAAATTTAAATAATATCCATTTTACAAATAGGTCTTTACAGACAATATTTTGCGATAATAGTTGCAAATGAGGTAATGTTGAAATAATTCAGTAAATCAATTTTATCTGAATAATCCATTCGGTATATTTCTCTCCTCTAGCAGGGACAATTTATTTCTTTAATTAGTTAAAAAGTGTGTAAAATACGGTATCATGTACTTATTTAAGATATGAGAATTATCTCTTATAGATTACTGATGTCAGTATTAATTAGTAGTAGTAGTCAGTATAAAACAAAATAATCTATTGTATCTATTTTAAAGAGAAGGACAATTTAACGCGCATAAAGAAAAAAAAACAAATTTTGATATTAAAACCTTAAACGTAATACATACAATTATGATAATACCATGCATATAAAATTTTTCTATATTACAAGAAAAAAAAGATATAATATAGATATCTGTATAATGTAATAAATATAATTAAAATTTATCTCAGTACTAGAGGAGATAAATATACCGAATGGATTATTCAGATAAAATTTATTTATTGCATTATTTCAACATTGTCTCATTTGCAACTATTACCGCAAAATACTGTCTATAAAGACCTATTTGTAAAATGGGTATTATTAAAATTTGCGTGCGGGCAAACGGTGATAAAATATAATTATTTACTTAACCGCAATTGATCCATGATGACAATGAGAATATTAGGTTAACAGCGAGGAAAAGTAATAATGCCAAATATCCAGTCGAATTAATTCCCTCGAAACAAGTCGAATTAATTCCCTCAATCATGCGCCGTTTACTCGCGATCGTCATAAATACTATAATTCTTCGTCGTTAGATTTTGTTTCAATTTAGTCACATAGTGTATATATCCACTGGAAATTCCATTAATGCTGAAAAAAGTCGCATAAACTAGTAAAGAAATTATATTGATCGTTTTGAATCTATTTAATATGTTTTTTACATAACTCTATTCGACTTCAAATCACGACACTACATTCAATAGTACATTTAGCGTTAAATGTACTATAAATGTCATCCTTTATTGAAAAAGTTAAAAGCCATTTTCGTATTATGCAGATAAAATGAAGGCGATAACAGAATTAAATACGCAATAAATATATAGACCCAGTTCAAGTCTAATTAATTTAATCTCTACTGGAAATTATTATGAATAATTAATATCACTACTCTCGTAACAAAAAATACGTTTAAATATCGAATTGTAAAAAGCATTTAAATGACACATTTTCCTTATTGAAAAAGATCGATTAAGATCTGTGAAGTGTTCTAACATCTAAAACGTGGTATTACTTGAAATATGATTGACAATATTAATCGCCAACGAATGCGCATTCCATGCAATAGTATTCGCGGCAGCTGTGTTAAATTTAATCTCGAGCGTATTTTATATTATTGCTCAAGTAAATCCCGTTGCCCAAGCGAGGCGATTTTGTCGTTGCGACACGCTCGGTATAGCGAAACACTTCACCGTCTTCGAGTAATCCGTCGTGCCGCGCTTTAGGGGAGCACAGCTCACTTGTGAAATGAAGCAAAATGCACTTTCACCCGGCATTGCGTTTCGCAATCTCCCGCGGCGCGGATTCTCCGATCTCCGACTTGGTGGTCGTCGTCGTCGTCGTCGTCGTCGAAAGCAGATTCCCCAGTTCGCGTAGGAATCTCCGTTGCTCGTCGTCCTAATTATCGCAAACTGAGTTTTGCGGCCTCGTTATGCCTCCGTCTGTCCGCGCGAGGCTCGACACTTTCGACTTCACCAAGCATTATGCGTCGTCCGATTCTCTGTATCAACGCACTCTTTGAACGTGTGTTGTTGTAGCATATACGTATATCGCTGCGGAGAAAGCAATAAAATCCTTATACGCGGGAATGTGTACGAGCATTAACTCTTGACGCTCCAACCGAGTTATAAATTATGATAAAGAGAGAACATTAATTTTGTAATACATTTTTCGAGAATACATAATTATAAATAAACATAAATATTGTATTATATCATACACATTTGCATAACACACGGACACACACGCGCGCGCACACACGCACACATACATGTATATTATATGCATGACTATCGACATCGCAGAAATGCGTGCAAAGCGTTAAACCAACATGATTTCGGTGAGTTGAGGGAGATATTTGAAATATTGCCCGCAGAGAAATGAGCCTCGAATCCATTCGTGATAACGAAAACATGTCAATTAACGTAAGATACATTTTGCCCACTGACTCATCGAAATCTACGTCAGTTTCAATCTCTGATTGTAGACGTTAACGCGCATCGCCGTCGAGTTTGCGGTTTTTCGCTGTCCGAATTCTCCGCGGCCGAACGGATGATGTCATCGGATTTCGATATCGTTATTTAAACGCGCATATTTTTCAGGCGTGTCATCGCAAGATATACAAGCGCAGCACGGACGGAAGTTTAAGGAAGTGGCAAAGTGAGATGCACGAGTTTAAACAAGGAGCGAAGGTAAGGTCATCGACTCGCGCGGCCGCGATTCCTCGTCTTCCTCTTTCTCTCGGGGGGAGATGTAGACGTTATATTGCCGCGCGCGCGGGCGCGATATCGCGGGGAAAATGAGCGGGCGGAGGAAAGAAATTGGAAAGTGGTCGGTGAAAGTGTTGAGGCGGGCACGAGGCACGTGGCCTGGCGAGCGTGGCTCACACGAGTGGACTTCCTTCACCTCCTCCTCGTCGTTCCTCGTCATTGTACCCTTCACCTGTCACCGTTCCCTGTACTCGTATCGTCTCGGGATCAATCCACGCCAACCTTTTCCTCTGTCCCCTGACCTTTGAGTCTGGCCGTAGAGGTGAAAGGGTTCAACCGGAAAAATCTCGGCTCAGAAGCTTTCAATGGCGAGCTTCTCTTTTTCTCTCTCTCTCTCTCTCTCTCTCTCTCTCTCTCTCTCTCTCTCTCTCTCTCTCTGTCTCTCTTTTTTTCTAAGTGGGGAGGGATTATTATTTCAATCTGGTTTCCTATTTCCTTTTTCTGCTGAATATTCCGTGCACGAAGGCCTTACTCGTGTCTGCGCGCAACGCGATTGTATGATTTTATAGAGAGACATACATGCGGTAGACAGCGGGAAATAATGCACTGTCATTAATATTGTAACAACGATATGAGAGGAGATAAGAGGGAAAGAGTAAAGATCGTAGTTGCGATATACGCGTTACAGATACATCGGCGAGAACGTTAAACGAATAGCTTGTTCATAGAATGCGATTTTCTTTACTTTATTTGTGTCGCTTTCCGGATTTTGCGCTTAATCAAACGGCATCAAGTTCAGCTTTCGAGATTCGAAACACGAAGGTCGGGCAAAGAACCGCCGCTTCAACTCGTACGATTTAACGTAGCGCGAACGTCGCGAAAGCAGATAAACCGAATATCGAATAACGCTTGACAGCTGCATATATTTTAACAGCTGATGACTGTTGAAAACGCATCAGCGGGAACACGACGGGCAAGCGTGGGCTCTCGCCACACCAGCGTTTATAATTCAATCGCTTTGTTTCCATTAAATTATGATTAAAGCCTTCTCACGTCGCGGTCCGATGATGAACAACGTAATAAATATGCGCGACATGTATCTATCATACGTGTTACTACCGTATTTACATGCCGAATTCATTCGCGCGTGATTCCTACCTCCGCTAGAGAATTCAGGTATGACACCATAGCTGTATCGTAGATTATCCGAGATTAATTGAATCTCCCCATCCCCATCCGCGCGACTTAATGTACCTCGGATACGTTTACGTATCAGGAGAATGCGCCAAGGCTAATCTCGTGCTAAGCACGTGCGGAATCTCACTATCGAGACACTCGATCTCATTTATTGGCAAGTACCGTTAATTGAATTTGATAATCTACACGCACGCATTTCGCGTAGGTCTACCTTAATCCATCCGTATATCGCTCTATCGTCGCGGGAAAGTGAACGTCTCGCGAAGTGAAGCGGTCGAGAGTTATTGCGGTTAATTAATCGCGAGGCAAAATTTTGATCGCGCAAAATTAGTATGTGTCACATACGTGATTGATATTTCGACCTAGGAATTAAAGCCGTCGGGGAATCCCGCGTGTTCGAAGAAAAGCAATTAAGTAATGGAGTTATATACAGCGGGAATATATGTGGCAAACATATTATTACATTTGCCACATAAATCATCCGCCATAAATATATATTTCACAGATGCAAATTGGGTAATTATAAGGATCTATTAAAATTGACATTTTTAATCTGTTGACGAAGAAGCGATCGTTTTCATCATGAAACCTGTTGGATTACGAATAGAGAATAAAAATATGTTAATAAAAACAATGTCTCGTAAATAGCCACATGTGTGCGCGAGAAAACAAGATTAATAAAGTATCTAGCGAAGAGAATGATATACGTGAAAAAGTTTGCAAGTAAGCGCCTTATATAATTTTCCACTACACAAGTTGGGAATATCAAACTTATATCGTTCAATTTATATGGAAGATTTTTTCGAACAAAAGTTTACGCGACATAAATCATGTAGAATAACAGATTTGGAAGAAAAAATGCGAAAGATAATTCCTTTTTTGGATATTCAGAAAGTATTTTAAATAGAAATTTAAAGTTTCTCGTGCGCGAGAAACAATAAATCGAGAAATAATCATACACGATACTTTCCAGCGTGTATTTTTTCATCTCTTATCATCTCATTGATGTCCATAAGAATCGATAAATTTTGCAAAAAAATACATCGTAGGATCAATTAGCGTATACCGTGCGTCAAATAAATTTCCGCGATGTATATTTTCCGCATCTTCTGCTCTTGTAAGAGCTGTGAAGCTCTTGGCGAGATTCTTGCCCCAAGCTATCGAGAGGAACCGTCCCTTTCCGTTTGGAATCCCGGTACGGAATTCTTCGAGAAAATGCCATTAGCGATAGCAAAGATATTCTCATACAAGATATCGAATACTCAAGAAGATGCGATACATAAATCCTTTTTTACTCTTATTCACACGATCGTTTTGCAGTAAATATGAATTTTTTGCAATGAAAAATATAATAATATTTAAATAGTATTTTTATTATTATCGTTAGCAGTCTTGAAGATAGGTCTAGAAAATAAATTAAATACTAAGTATTATGCGCGTATTAAGATTTACATTAATTAATAACAAACGATATATTCATATCTATAAACTGCTCCTTATGTTAATTCGAAATTGCTACTGATTAATTTATTACCAAACAAATCTTTATATTATTTAACACATAATATCGAGGGTAATGTAATAATATACATGTATAATATAATGTATAATATACATGTAATCGTCATCGATGTGCAAAACTATTACATATATATATATATATATATATATATATATATATATATGCTTTTATATATATTTTATATACGCGAATATACCGATTTATCGTATAATATATATCAATATTAGTTTGATATTCGTAAAAATATATTTTATTACACATATCCCAGCGAGATGTGTGGATACGTTACAATCCACACAAGTAGCCATCGATACCTTTTAAGTAAACACGTTTGCTTTGCGCGAAAATCCCGAAGTATCGATTTCGAGGAGCGTCGCGTTAACATACGATGGTCCGCGAGCTAATCGCGATAAAATCGCGCGCGTATCATCGTCATCTACGCACGCGGAGGCACGATAATGCGAATATAATGATGACGTTGCCGCGGGTTAATAGCCTATGCCTCGCCGACTTGGTTTCGTGATCATTTGTAATATAAATATGCGCGAGCGACACGTATGACACGCTTACATGCGGTATGTCGAAATACAATAGCACGACACGGAAGTGTCCCGTGCATTCTTTACAACGAGAAAATATGGGCGCTAAAACGTGACTTTTACGTGACGGATTCGGCTGTAGCGACATTCCTTAATGTTTTTTCGCGGGATTAATCCTTTGCGAAATTGTTTGCGAATTATTGTAATGATTGGTATAAAAAAAGTTTGAAGAAAATAAGATAAACTCATACACACGCATATGATCCATGCATGTGATTTAAATATAGCTTTATATTTGACTTTAGCATTTATAAATGTTTTTTGTGGACTTTAAACAATTAAAATAATCTTTCCGCTGTTTTCTCTTACAAAACATGACGTGATATTTTAAGGTATACAAACGAATTTAATTGTTATATTTTTAATAATATACAGAGTGAATTTTATTTCGTGTGTCAATCTTTTTATCATGCAGGAGATTATCGACTGTATGATAAATTGATCGGTGCATAAATGTCAATTTTTTGATCGACCGTATCGAAGGTCCGAATTTAATATGTACAATAATAATAATAATAATAATAAATCCATACTACATAAGTGCAGTTTTTAATTTGCTTTAATTTTACACATTATATTCGAGCCTTTGATACGGTCGATCCAAATAATAATTGACATTTATGTACCGATTAATTTATTATGCAGATAATCTCTCGCATGATAAAAAGATTGACACACGAAATAAAACTCACCCTGTATATATTTTAATATTATTTAAATATATATTTTTTCTGACTAATCGATGGAGATCTATATCTCTTTGGTATCAGAAATGTAATTTATTACTCGAGATTATGGCATACACAACCAAAAACACACACAAACAAATGGAATCATACTTAATTCAATGATTCAAGAGAATAATGTTCACTTAATTGTCATTGATATGTATCTTTGTAAACGAGTTGTTTTACAAGAAGATTTTCGTCGAGCATATATGTTTATACAAGACAAATGCAAAGTCGAAACATAAATTATTAGTTGCCTGCTAATTTTTAAACAGGGCGGTGGTATCAAGTGATAAAGACTCTCACGCAATCGAAAATTAAATCGATGTAAAACCTTGAACATTTAAAAATATCGATAACTAAATCTAAATATAAATTTAAATTAATAAATATTTATTACGTTTTATATAAACATTGTTCTTGACAAAATCTGATTTCGCAAGCGAAAATTTTCGTCGTTGAATAACGAGTCCATTGCGAAAGTCCTGTTAAGCGTTTCATTTGACGTTTCGCTCCAGTTTGCGAGCATTACATATGTATATCATACACACACGTGTAAGATTCGCGAAGAAAGGTGCGGCAGCGAGCAACGGTTCTGCTTCCTCGTAAACACTCGAAACCGGAACTTGCAATAACCGCATACCACGCGCACCGTGTTGAGCAAAATTACCAAAAGCTGTCACGTTGCATTTCTTTCGGGTCCCTTACGAACATGTTTGTATACGATTTATGTACACGAACGATCTCATACGTGACTTGACGTCGTTACGTATCTGTTTCACGATTATCGCACGATTAACATCGTGCCTCGACGTAACCGACAATTTGAAAAAAAAAAAAATATTTCGCAACACAAACTTTACATGGAGACGTGATGAAGGGGCAATCGCGAAATGCGATAGTTGGACCATGTGTAGTTCCGATAATACGTCCATTGGAGTAGCGCGCTCGGAGGCAATTGTAAAGGGGAAGTGTGTAATTGTTCGCAATTAAGTCTTGCCGGTTGCGAGGGAAAGTCGCCAACTCGCGTCGGGATAGGTTCAAAATTTTGCACTTTCTCCGATGTTGCGCGAATACTTGAGCGTAATTACGCGAGTTTGTATGGAATGCCTTTGGAAATTCAATTCAAACTTTCGATTTACGCGGTCGAAACGTTTCATAGACGGATGAACAGCTTTCGGCTGGAACATTCCATCCGAGATTGAAAGGACGTTATGTCCTCGTTCATTAGTGTTTGATAGAGCATAGGATCTACGTGTGCCGGTGATTTCTCACGTTGCAAGAGAATCGTTCAGAAATCTTACGGTTTTTTATCTGTACATGCATTTGTATAGCTAAGCTCTTTGTTTCATTGAAGGCTGTGCGAAAACTTTATCAAACGTGGTCTGCTAATTAGACTGTGAAATATTTCATTTAACAAATAAATATGTATACACATGAGAAAGAGAGATGGAAAAGAAAAGAGATTGCGTGTGTGCTTCATATGCATTACACACATACACACACATGTATTTATTTATTCTCATATTAAATATAATATTAAATATAATGTGTTTAGCATGGATAAGAATTTAATATAAGATTCTTATGGTATATATTATGTTAGATGTATAAGAGATTTTCTTATTATTATATTATCATGTTTATTAATTTCTGCAAAATTTGAAGAAACATGCAAGTTAGAAATTTATTATTCGGAATGTTACATGTCAGAGAAAACATGAGATTTTTATAAAACATTGAAAATCAGAGAAACTGCATCTGATTTATAAATTGGTATTTAAATTTTTGTTACAGGGCACCATGAGCCTAACCAAACGCATAGACGAGATCAGGTTGCTCGAATCACGTAAGAGTGCCCGACTGGCTGATCAAGACACGGATTTTGCCAGACTCGCCGATATGGCTGGCGATCGTAAGCGAGCGTCCTCCCACTCCATCGACGTGCCACACGTGATGGCGTAAGTTTCCTCTCTTTTCCCTATTACTGTCTCTTATCTGAGATACTTTTATGTTGGGCCAGTAGAGATAAAGTCCCGTACGTACGAACAGCCACCGATTGATAATAAACTCCCTAGCCAAATTACCTTTTTGAATGTCATTTGAAAACAAAATACATTTCAAGAAGTAATGCGGTTTCACTCTGATAATTATGCAAATTTTACACATTCCTTCGGTAAAAGTTATTCAAACATTTCGTGTTAAATATTCTGAATTTTGTTTCGTATGAATTTGTTGCATTTTTGCCGTGTCATATGCGATATTATAATTTCGCGTATAACCTGAAATGTATGTGTTACTTAAAAATCATGATTGTAATTATTGGAGGAGAAATTGAGAAATTATTCGATTCGACTTGAATATATTTTTTTTGGCAAAATATCCTCTTATATCTATTTTCGAATTTTTTTCAAATAATAATCAATTATTATTGAATATAAATTTTCTAGATCGCGAACTGCCCTTGTCTCAGTCCTATCCAGTTCTTTCCTATCTATGACCCACAACCTATGGAAATGTCCTCTTGATATACATGTAATAGATTCTTTAAAATTCTCCTTGCTCGTGAAAACTCAAAGTGACGTAAGTACAGTTATATTCAGTATGTAAGTATCTAATTTGGCGCATTATATTCATGTTAATTGATTCTTAAAAAATCGCTCATAATAATATAAATCAATATAAAAATATTTGATAGTGATATAAAATATAATAAAAAAATCAGTGAAATTCGCATCATAGAAGCTTAAGTATTTCACAAAAGAAAATGTATAATTAAAAGCAGAATAATTATTCGTAAATCTTTTCTATAAAATTGAAATATAAGCGGATTTTTTGTCAGGCAGCCCTTGTTGCCAGATACCTATTATATACTAAAAATCTTCTTAGCAATCTTAGGTTATTGCCAGATGTCACACAATAAGATGTGATACAATAAGATTTATAAATTATTAGAGCACCATTTCTTTATATATATACGTATCAGAGAATCTTGCTTTTCTCGTCATATAATGCTGGCAGGTCGACAAGTACAACTTTCTCTTTTTGCACAAATATATATAAATATATATATTGTATGGAATATATATATATATATATATATATATATATATATACACACATATTCCATACAAAATATAGCTATAAAGACCTTATACGAGGCTGAAAAGAAAAAGCTGAGAATCTGCAGGTTGCGTATATAAAGCAAAAAACGAAGGGAGAGTCCATTCGCAGATCGTTAGACCGTGAATGCACCCTCGCTAGGCACCTGTCTCTCACCTTTGTATCGCACGCAAGTCCCCAGAATGCTTTGTAACTTTCCTCACCCCTGGTGAATGTCAGTGAATATTCGCTATATTCGGAATATCACGGCAGCAAAATAGTCAATCGTCCGGCAGATATTTTAGAGAAAATTTCTAACACGAATGCAACGGTACAATTTGTTCGTGATTGCAATTTCCGTTTCGTATTTCAATTATATGATTGGCCATGTTATTATTAATAGCATAAATTTAAATTAAAAATATATAGTAGTTGTGTCATTCGAGACTGTGATACATCTCTCGTACTTCACATTCATGAATGAATAAATATAAATAACAATATTTTGTTATAATAAAATACGTACGTACAGTTATACGTGAATTGTTGTTACATTTAAATAGAATCCAAACATGGCGATCGACGTTGCATAGAATTCGTTTATAAAATTATTCGATTGAAAAACAATAAAGTTTTTATTCCGCTTATTCATACATAGCGAAAGATTTTCGCACTCTGCGAGCCGTCTCGGGCCTATGACCTGCGAGTCTCATTTCAGACGAAATTCTCTCTTTATCTCGCTCCCTCTTTATCGTCGTTTCTCTTGAAAAGGATAGAGCGGTCGTAGCCCGACCGAACCAGACGACGGACTGGAAGGTTAATGACCCCTCCCGTCGACTTTTCGTTTAGTATAAGCGAAGTCGGTCCTCGACCTCCTCGAGGATCCTCTTACAAAGGACACTGGAGTAAATTCGTAGGTATAAGATGGCTCGTAGACGTCGCGACGTAGTTATACCCAGGTAGAAAAATGCCAATGTTTTTGGTGGAACGTGCGCACACCTGGCCCTGGCACGACCTGCCCCACGTGAAAGGAAAGGTCACCGAAGAGAAATCGAATGCCTTTCAAAGTCCGATGATATCGACGACGAAAGCATGCGTACATTCGGACTACTGTCCAGCAAGACCTTGTATCGCGTCCAAGGTTTTAAATCTAGTAGAATTAATCTAACGATCGTGCAAACGTTTAAGCAGATCGAAACGATCGAAACAATCTTCTTACGGCTCGATAATATGGCAATTACGTCTGCATATCCAGGAACGTGCACGAAGAAAGTAGCTTAGATGGAAGATTATTCTTATTACGTTGGACATATACGCACGCACATAATATATCGTGTCTTGTTCTATCTGAAACTAGAATTCTTTCTCTTATAAAACCTCGATTTTATATGGTAGATTGAAATGGTTGAAATAATCGACGATCTTCTACGATTCGCAATGATATGGAAATTACATTTGAACATCTGGAAAACGTGTAACAGTACTTTAGCTCTGTTTATTCAAATATTCCTTTTGCAAAATAAATAATGCAAGAATTTATATATATATATATTTTTTAAATTAATTATCGTGTCGTTTAATCAAAGGAAATTAGACAAACTAGAATCCTTTTATATAAAATCTGCTCGATTCTAAGTAACAATTTTAAATAATGGTAGGAAATTAGAAAACCCCGTTCGCAAAGTAACTCGCACCAAGGTATTTTCTCTGTTATATGTCGTACATATATATACCGTTTATTCTTTCTGCCTTTCGCACGCAATCGTGCACGTCAGATGGTGCAACGTGAGTACGTGCGCGTGCGGGTTTGCGATAATTGATGCCGGCAAATTGAGCAACATAGCACTTCTCCCCGTTCCCTCTCGTGACGTAATTCCATACACTTTCCGCGCGATTTTTCGCCCTCTCTTCCCTTCCCCCTTCTCCCTCTCGCGAATACATTTGTCTCTAACCGTTAGCGAGAACAATCAGCTCCGAGCGATGAAGAGAAGAAAATATTAGCTCGTCTCGTAATAAAGCACGAGATCCCTATTCACGTGTGCGTCGATTTTACATGCATTCTCGTCCGATACATTTTTTACGGTCGTGCACACACACTTTACTCGCTCTCATACATCGATGAAAAAAAAAGAAAACACCCCAAGTACGGGGACGCGAGATGGAGACCGCGAGATTGGAACGCGAGGGAGGAACGATAGCTCCGAGCATGAGAGACGCGAATAGCTACAAGAGGAGATGGAGGGGCAGAGGGATGGAAAAGGGGAGAGGGGAGAGGGGACGCGGATAATCCGAAATACAACTCTGAATTTTCCGAAGTTGCCACGTCAACGGGCGCAGTGAGTCAGTAGGTTAGCTTACATAATTTCGAACGGCGGTCTCCGCGCGCCGGCGAGGAGGCAGTCGACTTGGTTTAGGAGAATTAGGTCGATCAATACCGCGGCCGTGCTATATAGGTCAGGTGCACTACCACGCTCCGCGTATGCGAGAGAGCGCCTGTGTTCCCCCCTTCTTCCCTGGCCCGACACCTAGCAACCCTCCCGCGCGTGCCACCCACCCAACCTGGTCACGAGCCACCCATCGGCACCGGGACAAAACCCACCACTCCCGCTTTCAACTCAAAACTCGGCCATTCCCTACTTTCGTTCTCTCGCATCCCGCTCCAGTTACTTGCTCGCGTTACGTTAACGCGTTAATTGACTCCAATCAATCCGGGGACTTGTGTTCCAGTTGGTTCTTTGCGAGAGATCGAATTAAGTGGTCATTATCTCGGTCGCTAATGGTGCGGAATTTGCCTGGAATGCGTGGAGCTCCTTATTTCCCTCTGTCTCCGCTTTCCTTCATGAGATATTCAGCGAGGAATGCGGAAAAGAAATTGAATAAATTAAGGTATTTGTCTCGGAAATTGACCAAAGATCGCGATAATATATTATAAGTATCTAATACGATAATGAATGCTTTTTTTTGCAGATAAGTATTTATTTCTAAAAATCTTTAATTTTCTTAAAATGTGGGATGATAACATCACATTCTTAAATCATTATTTTAGTATAATATTCATGAAATATAATATTAAACTATCTATTTTAACCTTGAAAACATTTTCAAAGAGAGACACGAGGTGCACGAGTCGTATATGGCTTCGTTTGTTGTATACTTCGTGCTAAGTCGAGTTAAGTTATTTGCTCCATGACCCACAATAATCATCAAGGTGCCGAGATCCGGATCGAGGAAGCGAAGCGAGGAAGGTTTCGCTATTCCTATCTCGAGCCGGATACGTGCGAACGGTAAATTCGCTCCAACTCGCGCGATCTATCGTTCTATCCACACAAAACGCCCTCGTTTGACTAAATTCCCGTTCTTGCACCAGGACCTGACCTAGGCCAAACGCTTTCCTCGAGCCATCATGCATGTTCGTGCAAAGATGCGCCCCCAGAAGGCTAGAAAAGAGGATTGTTCGCAGCGTGGTCTGCAATCTAGACACACGTACGCACGCATCGTCAAGGTCTTTTGCGCGACAAAATATGTCAGCTACCAGCGCGTGATCTTGACCTACCCAGCATAGCGACACGCAGATGTCATTTCAGTCGTGCGACGAGAACGCGGCCTCATACGAAGCAGAAAAATTAATGCAGATTATGCGGGCGAATTGCGTAATTCGCGTGCGTATATCATCGGGAAAAGGCCCGATAAGTCTCGAAATTGGGAATCGCACCGCGCGTGACGGCTAGTAGTCGAACCGGTACACGCACACATAAATCACACGGACACGTGTAAGCGTCAAGGTGTAGTGCCGGTCACTTATCGGCGTTACACGCGTTTCCACGCCGCTCCCTCATTCATATTTCATCGTTTTGCTATC